GTGATCATCATGAGCCAATCAGCGACGGCCTTATAGTTAGATGACGATTATGGTTTCAATTACCCCGGGAAAGGGTTCTATGTTCTTTTTGTAAATTAGATGTTTGTATGCAAGGAATTTTTCCGCACAAAAAACTTCGAATTTGGCTATCCTTTGGCTCTGAAAGCGGGATTTGCAGGAATCTGAAAAAAAAAAACGTTTCCCAACTTGTCTCTTTATTTAGTTACAAGTCGTATTCAAGATGGCTGTCTCTATAGTAAATATCGGTAACCAAATTAATTTTATTATCACTTTGTACGTAAGCTGACTGTGAATCAAACATACCTGTCATTGTTGTAACCACTCAAGGCCACCTTACTCTATTTAGAAGAAGCTTCTAAAATCGATTTCACGGACGGGTTCTGTTAGATAATATTCCTAATAAACTGCACAACATACAAAATACAATGCCCTCACGGTGTTCACACAGCTCAGGTTTTTTGAAGATCAAACAAAGTGTGAATGCAACTTTCTGTTACAGGTTTGTGATCTGAACGAATTTGGCCGACTAGCGGTCATATAATTTGATACACTGTTCCCACAAATAAATTCCGTACATTTTCGTGACCGAAACAGAATAACAATTGACGCAATAATTAGCAAATACAATACACAGATCCCAGAGATAGACCTAACATTCAAAAAGCGATTGGGAAATATTGAATTGAGAGTAGTAGGATAATTTACCTTAATGTTTTGGACATTTGCACATCAACCCAGACCGTTTAACGACCAGCGCCCTGTAGCTAAACAGGAAATCGTTGGCTGGTTCCCGCCTCAAGTGTCATGGCGCACCAAGCCATAAGAGGCTGGTAAGTATTAATGGTTCCAGAATTCTGGTTGGTCCATCACGTTCTCATTCTTTGTTATACTAGTATTTCTTTTGGTTACTAGTACCCGACGTCAGCTGGGTTTCCTTTTACTCTCAAAAGTTGCGTGAATATAATACTGTTTCTTGTTGTTGCACAAATAACAAGACATGCCAGAACCATCCCAAATAGGAAGTCTAAGCAGACTGAATGGGCATGGTTGTATTGCCTTAATATAAACTTGTTTTCGGAAAATTGGAATATTTTACGTTACTTAGTTACATGCCCTTGGGCCGGAATCCCGGCCCAGTGGAACAATATGGCTAGTACTAATTACCTGCGTCCTACTTGCCATTCGTAAGGGACGCCGGGAACCAGCGAAAGAAAACTCGTCGCTATAGACTGCCCTCACACGGCAGCTATACTGATTTCAAAAGGAGGATTTTAAGTCGAAGTACAAAAAGGCTGTTTATAATTTGTTTTAAGCTTTGCTGGCGTAACAAACCAGGACGAAACAAATACGTATCATCATACAGCTTTACCCTGGATGTCAGACAAGCAGTAATTCTAGCTATTCGACGCACCACATAAACTCATTGAAGGATATTATGAAATACCATTGTTCAAGTCTGTATCTTTGGAAGGGAAAGTTTATAACAACTTTCTCTTCACACCGAGAAACACAGGCAAACGTTTGTTTTCTTCAAAAAATACTGTTTATTGCATGATCTAAACAACTACCCTCGTAGATGTTTTTTTTTTTTTTTAATTCTAAACCGTTATAAACACAAATAGAAATACAACATGTAGAGCACATTCATTTCCAACGGAAGTCAAATGACACCTCGCTTATAATAGTACTATGGAATAACAGGACAGTAAATGTTATTTAATACCCCCCCTGTAATTGTAATAATGTAAGTAAATTAGCTATGCGATTACGGCATATTAATATGACTAAACCTGCAAACTTGACGCACGTGAGTTCGCGCCATCAATAACATTACCAGCATGCAACAACATAACATTACCAACAAGGTACTTCCGGATTGAATTCTAGATCAAACGAACATATGCACTGTAGTCATGTATTGTGCTGAAATGGATTTTGGAACACGGATCTGATAATTCACACTTGGGAGGCTGGGAGAAATGTCTCACTTAACCGATAGGGAACATTAAAACTTTCAAACAGTTAGCGATAACATTCAGTCAGTTGAAAACAGTATATATAAATCGAAGAAGTGGAAGCTGATAATTTATCTTGTCAATACATTTTATTATTAATTTGATTGCATTATTTTGAACAATATTCAATGAAAAATGGTTAAATGGCTTTATTAGAAATACGTGGTTCATTGAAGAAGCCATCTGGATAGCTTGCATGTTGAAATAATTTGGCATTGCCTCCGGATAAACATATTGAGGTACGATTTATCTTAAAATAGAGAAAATTTTAAACATTGTACTATTCGTTCAATGAAAATAATAAAACATGATTTGTAATTAGCTTTACTCATGTAAAACCGGGACGCATGCGCACTTGAGTTGTCTAGTCTTTTGTCGTCGAATGCATGCAATGTTTTTGATAAATTGTAGACTAAACATTTTATCAACATTCAATATCGAAAAAAAAGTGTTCAAAGTTACCGAAAGGTCAGCATGTGCACACATTCCTAATTGAGATCCGCCAAGAACATGAGATCGAAGACGGTATTTTTTTTTAAATTTGAAAGTCAAATATAAAAAAAGTGTTTCTTGAAATTGTTCGACATTGATAAAAATTTACACTACATAAGTACAATTATTTAGTAGCAAAAAATACAACCATCGTTGGCTGTCGTCGGAGCCTCGTTCCCACAACTGTAAATGGCAGCTACACTCTTAATATGACCTGAAACTTTTGTCAGCATTTAAAGGTAATTTCCACCTCGTTCACAAAAAAATATATACTCCATAGTATTCTAATTTGTGTTAGTATTGTTATCCTGTTATTTTGCAAAGGTACACTCTGTTTAACTGTTCGTGAACCTCCATAACTCAACGCGGGTGAACGATTGATACCCAATGCTCTTGAAATACCGGTAGTCGTAAATGTCTATACCAACATCATTTTCTGTTCTAATCCTATTTCTCTGCTTCGCGGAATACACTTCACTCACAAACTCTTTATAAGATCCTCTCTCGCATTCGGCGCGATGAAAATAATGACAAACGAGCTAACCGTAGTACCAACAAGAAACAGGTACAAACACAACCGGTCCACTACCAAACACGCGTAATGCCATTCAGACATCACCTCTGCATGTTTTTCTTCTTTTCGAAAGTGCTCACTAAGAAACTTTAGTTCTTTGAGTATCGCCTCGGACGACTGGGATTTAACAGGGGTGACATGGCCATTACAAATAGGCTCGTTCATAACCATCGGTTTGGACTCTTCCAATGTCTGGTTACATTTGTAGCGACGGTACATCATCCTTTCACGGTTCTCAATCCTAGGGGGCGTCCTTAACCTTATGTCGTTCATTTCAAGGTCAATGGCTTTGACGGGGTCATAAGCAGAGTGCGCATGTCTACGTATTTTCGGTTTGCTGTTGCTCTTTCCGGGGCGTTTCATCCGCATCAACCATGGCAACCAATCCAAGAATATAGCCCGGGTCTATAAAAACAACGTGATTTAGTTACGTAACAATGTTAAATTTACTTACATTTAATATTTTCACACAGATGTACCGACGTATCTATGTGTTTCTTTGATGCTTGTGAGATGCAGTATATTAGCGTTAAGGCAAGTACATGTATATGCATGTTACAATATAACTTGGATGTAAATGTCTGCCGAGATATCTTCGACGGCGAGAGAGACGCGAGAATGTCATATTTACGTAGGAAAAGTGGAAAAAAAGGGTACACTTACAGTGTTTGACATGTCACTGTTATCAGGATGTCTGTAGTGGAAATTCAATCCGACGATCGTCATGACGACAGACAAGCCAACTATCAACATCGTAGATCCATAATACTTGGCTTGTATGAGAAAAAGAAGAACAAACATTTCAAAATTAAAAAGGTGAGCCAAGCTTTGGTCGATGTAACAGCCTATTTTTTCGATATTGGTACCACGCGATGTCTACAGTGTGTGTATAATAATGTATATACGTTGTACGTTTACACCACAGTCAGCTGGCGCACAAGTGATAATACAATAAACGCGATATTTACTATATGGGGTCGCCGTCTTTAATACGGCACGAAACTAAACTAAAAGACTAGTTTCATGCTGTATTCAAGATGGCGGCCCCCATATAGTAAATATCGCATCTATGTTATTATCATTTGTGCGCTAGTTGACTGTGGTTTATACGCATTCAAACGCGCGTTTATAATGCAAAGAAAAAAACAAAAAACGACAGAGCCAAACAATAATAAACGCAAAACACATTTGTTTTCACATCTATTCATGGCGTCCCTTTAAGTGTGAACAGGTTACTTGAATTGGCGTATGAATTACGTGATACACGGATCTTAAAGCGGGAGGGTCGTCACCTGCGCACGCGCGGGAACTAAGTCCCAAGCGACGATAACAACACACGCTAAAAACGCAAAGGATCATGGGTAGCAGCTTGTTTGTAAACAATGACACGCTATGGACTTCTGGCGCTTGCGTAGGTGATGACTCCCCGCTTTAAAGGAAACATCAATGCAAACAACATAATGACCCCTAAAGAAAAAGCTTCACAAATGTAGGAGAATGTAATTTACAGTTTTTTTATATCACTTTTCATTCTGTAGATATTCAACTTTTTATCAGTATTATGTAGTCAGCCATCTTGATTATCAAGCAAAGGATTGTGGGTAAAGTATGACATCACAGAATCTGTTGTCAGAAATTGAGAAAATGATTTCATCTACAACTTCAAAAGTTGAGCTTCAAATTGGCTGAAAGTTTGGTCAAATTGGTAGCATACATGTACTGGTGCCATCCATGTTTATAAAATAGTTGCCATGGAAACAGAACTGAAAATATTTATTTTTATGTTTTTCTACCAAAAGCTCAAATTTCCTTATATTGTATACAATTTACCAATATAAAGTAGATTATATAGGTGATATATTACATGTTGACCACAAAAAGGGGCAAAAAAGTGTCATTCTATATTTCATGACTAAAATATTGATTTTTAATTTTTTAACGTTTTTTGCAATATCTTCACTTAATGTGTATTTGTAATATTCTAATTTCCATTACTATAATTATATACATGGGTAATATGCACAACGAATATTTGAACAAATTCACATCACTATTTCTCATGTTATAGATGAAATAATTTTCTCAATTTCTGACAACAGATTCTATGATGTCATACTTTACCCACAATCCTTTGCTTGAGAATCAAGATGGCTGACTACATAATACTGATGAAAAGTTGAATATCTAGTGAATTAAAAGTAATATAAAAAAGTGTAAATTGCATTCTCCTACATTTGTAGAGCTTTATCTGTAGGGGTCATTATGTTGTTTGCATTGATGTTTCCTTTAAACACCACCACTCGGCAACTACTCCTAAAATAATTGGCATCTTAAACTGCATTCGGTATCGTGGTCAACTGCATTCACGTTTAGTTTATTCTCACAATATGTGTCGAACTTTCAGTATGTTTAGATTGATATATGAACATCTTTACGAGAATAAAGTTGCCATGGTAACCATGGTATTGAGATCAGTGGACACAATGACGTGAGTGAATAGAACGCTATTTGAGTGGCGGGGCGGGGCAATCTATATAAGTACAGTACTCTGATTACATGCGGATGAATCAATCGAAGTGATCGAACCTTACCTACAAGTGGAATCACTTCGGACGTTGGGGGCATAGTTTCTGCAATTAGCAGCAAAAATACCGTCATGGATAGTAGAATGGTGATACCTATAAAAATGAAATATCAGAA